ATAGGAATGCTTGTGCGATATATTCATTTGTTCAAAACATGAAATTAATTAAAAAAAAATGCAATTATGGTTTATATCTACGATGTTTTTTAATAAGCGTATATTTTCATGTGCATAACTTAATGAGTATATTTGGGCGAGATAGTTGTACATAACGTGCACATAATGACATTGAACTCTTTGCATTGATCCTTTTATCAAACAATAAATTATTGAAAATTATTTTATGTATTTTAACATCTGATGAACCTTCGTATATTGTATATATTATAGAAGAATCATGATTAGTTTATTCATTTTTTTTATATTTGGCTAATAGTATTCGATATATTTTAAATTAAATTAACCGACAGTTTTGAGGCTTATAGATCCCATGTGTTTTTGTTTCGTCCATTGATGTAATATTGTTACCAAATGAACTTTTAATTTGTTTATCGATTTGGCTAAAATAAAAAACTTTTAGTTTTATACGATGTTATATATGTTATATATGTGAACTATGAACCTAAAATTTTGACAGAGTTTGACATATTGATAATGTTTATGTAATAAACGGTTATATATATTTTATTAATTTTTTTTACATCTTTTATGGATAATTTTGACCATTATTTAAAAGTATATATTGTTGTTGATCAACATGTATGGCTATAAATAGGCGGATTTCTCTCTACCTTAGAGGTATATATATACTGATGCAAGTTGGATTACCAATATTGATGACTACTTATCCACAAGTGGTTGGGTATTACTACTTTGTCCATGGACCAATCTCGTCGCCCTCAAATAAGCAAATTTACATCATCAATTCGACAATGAAATATGAATTTGTAGCTCTCTAGTTACTGCCGGTAAGGAGGCAGAGTAGTTAAGGAATATGATTTTTTAGATTTCATTACAGCCAAAACCTATTTCACCTATTTCTATACACTGTGATGGTGCACCAACCTTATCTAAGTCATATAGTCAAGTGTATAATAGGAAGTCATAACATTTAGGTGTTAGCCATAATATGGTACGTGGGCTAATTACTCGTCGGATAGTTTATAGGTTATGTCGAGTTTGTTCGACTTAATAGAATCTAGTCGATCATTTAACGAAAGGATTAGCTAAGAAATTGATAAATATGTCAGTTATCAAGATAAGTTTAAGTCCCGTTTGGTATCTCTGAAAGGGTAAGATACCCAATTCTCTCCTAATACAATGCTAGGAATTAATTCAATGTTGAAGGCTTGCTTTTGGAGATCAAAGCACATTGGTTTACTTCATCCCAAGGTATGTGCTTAAAACTGCAAATTAAAATTAGGATAAATAGTTTGTTAACAGCTCTATTAAAAAAATGTATGTGTTGATGCATTAATTAAAAGGACCATCTATGTGAGTGAAGTTTTACCGCTTCAGGAAGCTTAGTGCTTGGCTTTTATGCACTCGTGAGGACAAAACAATGACTTGTAATAGTTTCAAGCATGAACATTAGAATTTATGTAAAAACTTGTGTGTATAATATCTTCAATTACTCAAATGAGTTGATGGATTCAATCCTAAGGACATCGTGATTCTTGAGTATTTGAAATTTGTCGAGACAAACTGAGTTGAACTATAGTTATAATATGAGATTGGAGGTGTTCTCTACTCGATCGAGATAAGCCAAAGTGAATTCGGGACCATAGGGGTCCCGGGGCAACACCCCTGGTGGGGTTCCAAATAGCCCCTAGCAGGGTAAGGGGGTCGTCCTTATGGTGTCTAAGGGGCGGTAGTTACTTCTAACAAATCTCATGCTAAAAAATTTGTCCGTTCGAATTTTCATATATATATATATATATATATATATATATATATATATATATATATATG